TTTCATTATAAGGTGCTGAGATTATTGCCAGATTATATATTGGGGGAGAAAACAGCTGATATTAACTGTTTTTGTTTGAAAGAGGTGTCAGAAACAGAAGTGAGAGGATGTAAGTAAAAGATGAGTGAAGTGGTGAAAAAGGCTGGAATCTCATGACAGAGRGTAGCTGGTAGGCCAGGAGTGGGTTTCCAATTCCCAGATATCTGTTGTCATATATTTATTACGTGAAATGATGTATTAAACATGCTACTTGACCCTGAGTGACCAAATGGCATCCCCAGAGCTACCCCTGAGCTTTAACCTCAGCTGTGCTTTGTGCATGTAAACAGCAGAAAATGCACTTTCTCATGGGTTCTGAACTTGTGCTTTTCCTTCTGAACAGGATTTGTTAGACCATTCCTGCACATCTGGAAGTGGCTCTGGTCTTCCTTTCCTGGTGCAAAGGACGGTGGCTCGGCAGATCACGCTGGTGGAGTGTGTAGGTCAGTGTTGTTCAGAGCTGGTAAAAAACCTTGTAATGAATTTGGGAAGTTCTGTCATCCTCTGGAACACATTCAGCTTCTCAGGCTTCATGGATCATTCTTGGTCCTGGAAAGCCAAGTCAAAAAATTCCTTTCAAATTTCCGCAGAAGAAAAGGGCAGATATCATCTGTGCTTTGTGATGAAAAAATAAAGCTTTTTTCAGTAAGGCAATGTGAGAAAATACAAACCAGGCCTGTTGTACAGTGTAAGCTAAATGTTTTTTGGAAAAGCAAGCTCTGTTTGAAGTTTGGCACTGTCAAACTGTGAAACAAACATTTCTTCATTAATCAACTCAAAAGCTTTAGAATTAGAAATGGGTCACCTGGGTTTGGKAGCTGGAGCTGAAACATCAAGCAAAGTGATGAACATGGTACTTGAAACCTGTYATTTTGGGCCACTGGAATGGATCATGAGTGTGTTGTGGTTGAGTTGCTCTGCCCTGTTCTTTGGAACAGTGAYGTGATGCTGCTGCTCTTCCCCCTTTAAGAGAGTCTTTATATTAATTCTTCCCTAAAACTCTTCTGGGTCTTTAGTTTTTTGCAGGGCTTTAGTGTTAATTTTAAGGCTTCAGTAAATTTTTCTTCAGCAAATTGAGTAGTGTTAAATTTGAATTTAGGAAGCATTTGGGTCAAAGATAGTGGAGGCATTGACATTGAGGCAAGATGCTGTGCTGGTGCTAAGGAGGTGAGGAAGGCACGAGAATGATTGATTTTAGTAGGAAAAATGGCAAAAATCTGTTCTGTGCTGCTGCTTTGGTGACTTGAATTTGGGGTGGGTTAGATCTTCCCCTAAGTCCCGAGAAGGGTGAAGCCCTCAGGGTGTTGAGTCGAGCTCAGCTGTCACAGATGAAGCCATGATCTGTAACACTGCAGTTCAGCAGTGTTTCTTTGCTTTTGGCTCAGTTTGTATTGAGCAGGCACAGATGTTCACACTGCCTGAAACCCAAGTGTGCAGCTCTGATCTCTGCAGTTCCTCTGCATGAACAACTGGAGGATAATGACCTGCCCGGTGATTTACCTGTGACATGTTTTTGTGTGTGCAGCTCTGATCTCTGCAGTTCCTCTCCATGAGCAACTGGAGGATAATGACCTGCAGGGTGATTTTACCTGTGACATGTTTTTGTGTGTGCAGCTCTGATCTCTGCAGTTCCTCTCCATGAGCAACTGGAGGATAATGACCTGCAGGGTGATTTTACCTGTGACATGTTTTTGTGTGTGCAGCTCTGATCTCTGCAGTTCCTCTTYKYGAGGAACTGGAGGATRATGACCTGCAGGGTGATTTACCTGTGACATGTTTTTGTATGTGCACACACGTGTGCATGCATGTTCCATTAAACAGGGCCTGCTCCCCGTTATTTCAGGCTGGCACTATTCCAGGGGCTGTGATATCCTGTAAGGCAGAGGCAGGCAGAGTGTTTGTGCAGGAGGTGTCTGCAGTGACAGCACCAATCCTCAACCCAGGGTGCCTCTCTTTGGTGAACCCATGGCTCACTCATGAGCCTCTGGAGGACACAGAATGGCACAATTTGGGTGTTTGGAGCTGTCATTTCTGGCACCATTCATGGTTCTGTGCCTGAGGCCATCACACATGGGCTGTGCTGGAAACAGCAGCCCCCAGAACTGCTCCAGTGTGCCTTGTCCATGACGGTGCTTGGTAATTTCATTCTTTTCTTCTAAGCCATTGGGATAAAAGCTTGGCATACAGACCATGTGTCCTGATCTCCACAGGACAGGGCAGGGTTTTGGTGGGGTTGTTTTTTATTAATCTTKCTGTTGTTTGTAGGTGGGTTGTTTTTAGTGTTAGGTCACCGTTTAGTGTTTTGTGTTGCACTGTTGCTGATGTAACAGAAATGTAAAGGCTGTATCCCCAGCATTGCMCTTCCTTCCTGTCCTCCCTGCTGCAGGATTTACATCTTTGTGTTGTGCACTCTGAGCTTGCCATGTGCTGCCAGAGTCACTGCAGCTGCAGAGGCAYTKYCATGGCTGKGTTTGAATCTTYCMTGGCTGKGTTTGAAYCTTYCMTGGCTGTGTTTGAACCTTYCATGGCTGTGTTTGAAYCTTCCATGGCTGTGTTTGAATCTTYCMTGGCTGTGTTTGAATGGTGACACTCCCAGCTCAAACCCTCTGTACTGCACTGCTGTGCAGGGAGGAGAGATCCACACGAGCAGGGCTTGCAGTCAGCACAAACTGGAGAAATGAGGGGTGCTGGGGCACAGTGTGATGGTAACAAGTGGTGAGRAATGCATGCAGAGGGGATCAGAGCACTGGTGCAGTATTTGGTTGTGACATTCCCATCCTGCAGCTCGTCCCACCCTTCTGCCTGGTGACCACTGTTTGTTGACAACTTCTGTGTTTTTTGCCCCACCAGGAAAGGGCCGTTACGGAGAAGTGTGGAGGGGTCAGTGGCAAGGAGAAAACGTTGCTGTGAAGATCTTCTCYTCTAGGGATGAAAAATCCTGGTTCAGGGAAACCGAGTTGTACAACACTGTCTTGCTGMGGCATGAGAATATTTTAGGTGAGTAGGACAAGGTGTGAAGGTGAGTTACCTGAATGGGTCATTGTCACTGCACAAAGGCATCTCAGAGCTGTTTGTTCTGGTGAATAGTTAAAGGAGAGTAGGGAAGAGACTTCCAGGAGGGGCTGACTCAARTGGGGTGTGTCTATAGCAGCTGTGACTCGTGTTTCTGCAGTAAATCCTGCACAAAGCAGTAAATCAGGCAGATGGATCAGGGGATGGCAGCACAGCACACAGAAAACTGGAGATGGCACAGACCCCTCTGGCCCTTGCAGCTCTCGTGTGAGAGTCCTGCRTGGTGTRTCAGGGGAAGTTCTGGTGAATCTGKGYTGGCTTGTGAACTCWKTTTCCCTGCAGAAAAGGAGGGAGAAAAGGTGGGGAGGAGTTTATAATGACATCTAAYGATTTGAATACTTTTCCTTATGCCTTAGTAAAGTGCAATATGAATTSATTATTTTCTTCTGTTTAACTGTTCTGCTCAGGGTGACACTAAGCTCCTTTGCCATTTAAACTTCAGCTATAACTGTGTGATGTCTCTTGTTTCCCTGTAAATATGAAAGTAGATGAACTTTGTGCATCACTCCTATCACCTATGCTTAGTTCTGGGAGCTGAAAAAATGGCTTTGTAGTTTGGGGCTATGGCTGAGGTTTGAGCAGCCCTTTGATTCCTATTAGACATGCTCTTCTATCACCTCTGCAAATAAAAGCAGCAGCACATTTTCTGAGTGCTGACACTGCCTCACTCAGTCTGTCTTCAATCAGTTTTTCTTGGGCTCCTTATTCTTGTTCCTGACAGAGAATGTTCCCTGGCTCTGTAGCTCAGCCTGCTAGACATTTGTTTCCTGAAGTGGTTCCTTTGTTCCTACAAAAATAATTTGGTGGCCTCCTGAAATGTGCATTATTGAACTTCCCTTCCCAAGAGAGCAAGAAACTTGGCTGAAATYACATTGCACATTTCCCTTGGTGCTCTGCCTGTGTTTAGTCTTTCTTGATAACTGTCAGATTTGTTGGCTACTTTATAGACTTTTTTTAGATGCAATATTAAACAATGCCACAGATTACAGGAATGTCTCATTGTGCACGAGTCTGACTTCAGGAGAGAAAGCAGTGAGTGTTCTTTCTGACAARTGTATGTGAGCTTTTAATAAACATGGTTTGTTCCTCTGATTTGGGAATAAAACTCTTGTTCCCAGCTAAAGCTGTTGAGGGCACTGTGGACACAGAACCAGTGCAGAGGTGCAAGAAGGGAGCTTCCCCTGGTTTTGGGTTTTAGTTTTAAGACATGACATTTTTGAAGGCAGTTCTTGAGGTTCATGGATTTTGAACAGATAATTTTCTCTGTTTATCATTGTGGTTGGGCTACACATTTACCCCTTTTCTCAGCAGCCTGCACTGACTGCCTGCAGGCCCTAAAGATGGAATTGGTTGGTTGTGGCTTGATGTTTGAGATGCTGCTGCTTTCCAGTGTGACCCTCTTAAGTGGGCAGCAGCAAATCTGCTACAGACCTGGAGTCWTTCTGTTTGACTGGGAACTTCCCCACCCCCAAGTTCTTCAAAAAGAAGGAAAAATAAAAATACTTTTATAGTGTGTGGTCCTGACAAATAGTTGTGTGGTGGGGCTGGCAAATATGTGAATGGGTTATTGTAAATTGATGTGAGTTCGAGTTCCAGCATTTGTTGGGTTTGTTTTCTCACAGCAGTGAGATACCTGCAGTCCTCTGCAGTGCAGTTATAATTAAACAGATTTTGCATTGCAAGATGGGCCAGCAGCACTGATTCACAGTGTCACTGAATATTCTGAGTGGGAAGGGACCCAGAAGGATCCTGGAGTCAGCTCTGAAGTGGATAGCTTGTACAGGGATCAACCCCACAGCCTGGTGTTAGCAGCACCCTGTCCTAAGAGCTGAGTCTTTGGGGGTCTCTGCAAGGAGCAGTCAGTTGATTTTCTGTTTCCTCCTTTTGTTGGGACTCTGCAAGGAGCACTGTCAGTTATTTTCTGTTTCTCCTTTTGTTGGGTACTCTGCAAGGAGC